GATCTACTACCGTGGTCACTACTCTATCCTAATTATCCTTGACCTGTCTGCAGCTTTTGACACTGTTGATCATCAACAGCTTCTTCTCATCCTCCCCAATATCGGTCTACATGATATTGCTCTCTCCTGGTGCTCCTCCTACCTCTCCCAGTGCTCTTTCAGTGTTTCTTTCTCTGGCTCTGCTTCTTCTCCCCAACTCCTCTCTGTTGGTGTCCACCAAGGTTCAGTCCTTGGTGGCCTACTGTTCTCCATCTATACTGCCTCCCTTGGTAAACTCATAAGCTCCTTTGGCTTCCAATATAATTTCTATGCGGAGGACATGCAAATCTACCTGTCCTCTTCTGATCTCTCCTCGACCCTCTTGAATAGTGTCTCTGACTGCCTCTCTGCTATTTCTAACTGGATGGCTGCCCATTTCCTTATACTCAACTTGACCAAAACTGAAATTCTGGTCTTTCCTCCCTCAAGTGTTGTTACTCCTGTGTCTGTCTCCCTCAAAGTCAACGGTGCTACCATCAGCTCCACCGCACTGGCTTGCTGCCTAGGTGTTCTCTTTGACTCCGACCTCTCCTTCAAGCCCCATTATCAGTCTATTGCCAAATCCTGTTGTTTCCATCTCAAAAAACACTGCACGCATCCAACCCTACTTAACGCGAGACTACTGTAATCCGCTTCTCAGTAGTCTTACGTGCTCCCAACTTGTGCCGTTACAATCCATAATGAATGCGGCGGTGAGGCTCATCTTCCCATGCCTCACCCTTCTGTCAGTCCCTATATTGGCTTCCTGTAAGATATAGGGCTCAATTTAAAATTCTTGTTTTTGCTTTCAAATCTCTACATAATGCTGCTCCTACCTAATTATCCTCCCTAATAGACAAGTTTGTCCCGTCTAGGCCCTTACGCTCTGCTGAAGACTTACGTCTATCTTCTGTCCATACTCCCACCTCTGATGCTCGCCTTCAAGACTTCTCGAGGGCTACACCGCTCCTGTGCAACTCGCTTCCCTCCTCCGTTAGATGCTCACCCAGTCTCCACTCCTTCAAAAATCATTAAAAACCCACTTCTTCATAAAAGCGTTTGAATTAAACTGTTAATAGCTCCTGACTGATTCCTCTCTTGCAACTGTTATTAGTCTAATACTATCCTTACCTTTTTGTGCCACTTTACTCCCTCTAGCATGTAAGCTCATTGAGGAGGTCCCTCAACCCCTCTGTTCCGGTGTGTCCAACTTGTCTGGTTACAACTACATGTCTGTTCGTCGACCCATTGTAAAATGCTGCAGAATTTGTTAGCGCTATATAAATAATGACATAATAATACAAGACGAAAAGAACAGACTCATCTGTGTGCACTGTTGTCACAACTACAAAGTACAGTAAGACAGGTAACCTAACATCCAACGATACAACAGTCTAATTTAGATTGTCAATGGTGGATGTATTTAACACTGTTTAGAAAAATCTTCTGTTAGTGAGTTGACTACTTACAAGACGAAAAGAACACACTCATCTGCCAAATTGCGTTTGTTTTCAAATAGTGACATTCTCTTCTATCATATGATTGAATTACCCCACACCATTTTGATAATCTCCTTCCTTTCAGTGGGAAAAATTCAACAGCAAGGATTATATTTGTGGAAATATACAGAAACATTATGAATGGACACCAGAGCCAGGGTTTTTTTTCTTAAAGGGACTCTCCGGTGTTGGGTAGGGAGACCTAATGAACATATGCGGCAATGGACACGCGCGCGTATCCATTGCCCCATTGGAAACTATTATTCAATGCTCTCCTATGGGGATTCTGGCAACGCTGGAGGCCCTCATGCATAGCATGAGGACGTCCAGTGTCATTTATTCTTAGAACACTGAAGTCCCTCTAGTGACTGTCTGATAGACAACCACCGATAGACAGCCACTAGAGGAGGACTTAAACCCTGCAAGGTAATTATTGCAGTTAAAAACTGCAATAATTACACTTGCAGGGTTAGGGGTGGTGGGAGTTGGCACACAGACCACTCCAATTAGCAAAAGTGGTGTGGGTGCCTTGAGTGTCCCTTTAACCCCTTAAGGACACATGACATGTGTGACATGTCATGATTCCCTTTTATTCCAGAAGTTTGGTCCTTAGGGGGTTAAAGGTAAAAGAAAAAAGGAAATGCTGCTTACACACACACAAAAAAAAAATCTTCATTTATAATGGGCTTGATTATAGGCTTATACTAACAGAAATATACTTAAGTCTGGTAAGAGTTTTCATCAACAAATCTATGACAGATAATGTTCAACAACAAAAGATAAACTCATCTCATCTAATATAATTTAGCCCTATAGGAGATAGTGATGGATATGTTTCATATAAACTTCTCTGCAGCACATCATACAGTTTTTTCTTGATCTCTTGTCTCTGTATTTGGCTTGGAAATACATAAAAAGGGATGATTGAATTGGTTTTGAAAATAAACAAAAAAGATGTATCTGGTATCGTACAAACAAATCAGGATGATTTTTGTATAATGCTGGATTTTATTCAGTCTTGCACCTAAAATGTCTAAAGTGTCCCTTTAAGACACAATGTCATTTAATCAGCATGTTTATTGTGCATAGGATTTGGTAGGTTCATGCAATCTTTCATAATGTAAAATGTTTCTGAATTATCTGCTGAAAATGACCCTCATCAACCTTTTTAGAATTTCATAATTTGATTCTTTGAGCTAAAAAATACAGATTTAATTGCTAAAATTATAATTCAATGTGAATTCAAAGTAAATTTAAAATGTAAGGACTGAGTAGCAGAAGTGAAAGCATTGTTAATTTAGAGAATGTGTCCAGTTTGATCTTAAATTTGAAAATCACTTTGAATTCATGTTGAATTCTCACTTTAGTAAATAAACCTTTATTTACAAATATGATGGTCACTAGTCATTGTTGACTTCTAAGGCCAATGTCTGCATCTGATATATCACTGTATGGGTTCAGTCTCTTAGACAAAGTATGTATTTGATTTACTAGCTAGCTTCTGGAGACCAAATTATGGCGCAATAATCCACCATATCAAAAAACACAGTGCAGACGAATAACCCACCAGACTGATAACCCGCTACAACTGTAATACTAGCCTGATCAACCTAGACACCACCAAAATAGAATCAGGAATAATAAATGTGATAATTGGGAATGGGAGCACACTCCTTTCAACTACAATTTGAGACAGTCTGAGACAGAACAAGCAACAAGTAATAGCAGAAATGAAAAGGAATTTATCATAATATATAAATCAAAAAGTTGGTAAGTGATAATAGACAATGAAAGTGTATTTTATGTTGCTTTTGGTGAGATAATAGTGAAAATAATAAAATTATGTTTTACATGTATAATCCAAGCAAATATTTTGTGCTGTCGCTCTCTTCCAGGTTCAGTTTTTTATAACAATAATACACTTATCTCCTAAGAATGGATTGATTTCTGGCAGTTTAATAATGTCACCTGTACACAAATATGTATTTGAAATTACAAACACTGCCCATTTCAGGTGCTAAAACATTATAATACAATAGTATATTTAATAAATCCCTTAATCTCAGGCCTAGGTTAGCACAACCAATATACTCCAATATACCTGTAAGTTAACTCCCACTGGTAATGATTGTATAAAAACAGTACCTTTATTGAATGATAATTAAAATTGCATCATTAGGCTGGGATATAACAGTGCAGGCAGGACATTAACATGTTTCATGCCTTTGAGACACTTCATCAAATGTCTGGTCAAAACAGCTGATTTTGACAAATTAACCCATACAACCCAAACAATTTAGCAAATTAGCTTTTGATTCACCACAATTCAATGTTTAATGAATAAACAGCTATGAAGAAAATTACAAGAATATTACTTTTTTTTGCTCAGTTATGCTAAAAGGTTAACAAAAATGTGTTTTATTGAAGGATATGGACCATATGAAGCCATTTATTATCACAAAGTTGTTTGGCTAGTTTTTAAATCATAATTAGAGTTGAGCGGACAACTGGATGTTCAGGTCCGGCGCATTTGGCCGAACTTTGAAAAAAGTTTGGGTTCGGGCTTGAACTTGACCCCAAACTTGACCCCGAACCTGAACCCCATTGAAGTCAATGGGGACCCGAACTTTTGGCCACAGAAATGCCTCTAAAAAACTCCTGCAAAGGGCTAGAGAGCTGCAAAAGGAAGTAAAATGGGTGTAAGAGTAGGACAAGTGCCCTGCAAACAAATAGGATAGGGAAATCACTTAAAATAACATAAAATACCTAAAAATTTAAAATACAGATGGGCCATAAAATACCACTAGATGGAATCTTTGATTTTACCTTTGGAAGAACATAAATCAAAATCTAAAGCATGGCTGTCAGGCAGGGCCGGACTGGGGATACGAAGCAGCCCTGGAAAAAAATCTATGCCAGCCCCATAAGTCATTGTGCTATGTAGGGTGTTATATATTAAAGGACCACTATAGTGCCCTGAGGGTGCCCCCACCCTCAGGGTCCCCCTCCCGCCCGGCTCTGGAAGGGTGAAAGGGGTAAAAACTTACCTTTTTCCAGCGCTGGGTGGGGAGCTCTCCTCCTCCGATCCTCCTTCTCTCCTCCCCGTCGGCTGAATGCGCACACACGGCAAGAGCTGCGCGCGCATTCAGCCGGTCACATAGGAAAGCATTATCAATGCTTTCCTATGGACGCTGGCGTGCTCTCACTGTGAAAATCACAGTGAGAAGCACGCAAGCGCCTCTAGTGGCTGTCAATGAGACAGCCACTAGAGGAAATAGGGGAAGGCTTAACCCATTCATAAACATAGCACTCTGAAACTTCTATGTTTATGAAAAAATGGGTTAACCCTAGCTGGACCAGGCACCCAGACCACTTCATTAAGCTGAAGTGGTCTGGGTGCCTAGAGTGGTCCTTTAATGTATGTGTATATATATATATATATATATATTATTGATACATTTCTTCTTCTAATTCAAAATATTAGTCCTTTCAGGGTAATTAAATTATACAGTAAAGCATACTCACACACAGACACAGACAATCTTACTGATGCACACAAATAGGCTCATTTAAAGACAATCTTAATGACACACACAGACAAGGTTACTGGCAGACACACAAATTTAGTACAGACAAACTCTGATACACACAAGCTTACTACAGACAAGCTCACTGTCACACACACACGCTCACTACAGACAAGCTCACTGATGCGCACACACTCTCCCTTACAGACAAGCCCATTGACATACACATGCTCCCTACAGAAGAGCTCACTAACACAGATTCACTACAGACAAGCTCACTGACACACACATGCTCACTACAGACAAGCTCACTGACACACACACTCACTACAGACAAGCTCACTGACACACGCTCACTACAGACAAGCTCACTGACACACACGCTCACTACAGACAAGCTCACTGATGCGCACACACTCTCCCCACAGACAAGCCCATTGACACACACATGCTCCCTACAGAAGAGCTCACTAACACAGATTCACTACAGACAAGCTCACTGACACACCCATGCTCACTACAGACAAGCTCACTGACACACACGCTCACTACAGACAAGCTCACTGACACATATGGTCACTACAGACAAGCTCACTGACACACACGCTCACTACAGACAAGCTCACTGACACATATGGTCACTACAGACAAGTTCACTGACACATATGGTCACTACAGACAAGCTCACTGACACACACGCTCACTACAGACAAGTTCACTGACACACACGCTCACTACAGACAAGCCCACGATCACACCCATGCTCCTTACAGACAAGAGCTCACTAACACACACACATATGATCCCTACAGACAAGCTCACTGACACACATACAAACTCACTCACTAGCAGGCACACACACAAACTCACTAGCAGGCACACACACACACAGAGGCTCCCTCACTAGCAGGTGCGCACACACACACAGAGGCAAACAGTCACTGACACTGAGGCAAACATCCACACATACAGACAGGCAGACAGCCACACACACACAGGCAGACAGTCACACACACACACACACAGCCACACACACAGGCAGACACTTACACACACACAGTCACACACACAGACAGTCACACACACAGTCACACACAGACAGTAACATACACAGGCAGACAGACACACACACAGAGGCAGTTACACACAAAGGCAGTCACACGCACAGTCACACGCACACACAGACAGTCACACACAAACACACACTAACAGTCACACACTCACAGACAGTCACAGTCACACACAAACACACACACACAGACAGTCACACACACACAGGCAGTCACAGTCACACACACACAGTCTCACACACACACAGTCACACACACACAGACAGTCACAGTCACACACACACACACACACACAGATAGTCACACACACAGACAGTCACACACACACAGTCACACACTCACAGATAGTCACAGTCACACACACACAGTCACACACTCACACACTCACAGACAGTCACACACTCACAGTCACACACTCACACAGACACACTGACCTCCTCCTTACCTCCTGCTTGGAGTTCCTGGAGGCTTGTTGTTGGGGAAGCAGGGACTCCTTCCTGCTTCCCATGCTGCAATTAGCCGGGCCCCGCCGCACAGTAAGCTCCGCCTCCGCCGCACGCTAAGCCCCGCCTCCGCCGCACAGTAAGCTCCGCCCCCGCCGCAAATTTTATATATTTTTTTTTAAATGATCCCGGGCGGCCATGTGTGAGCTGTGCCGGCCGCCTGGCTCCCCCTGCTCCCATGGGGCTCTGTGCGGCCGCACAGCTCACACACGGCCGCCGGGATCACAGGAGCTGTCAGACCGGCCCCAGGTGCCGCGGCCCACCGGGAAATTTCCCGGTATCCCGGTGGGCCAGTCCGGCCCTGCTGTCAGGAGAATCAACAGAATTATCTATTTGAGAGAGGGTTGGAGTGCAGGGTATTCTCTTTCATTGTTCAAACTAAAATCAACTCCTGATGCATGGAGAAAAGGCCTTCACAAGCCTCTGCTAATGTGTACATAGTTTATACTAAGTGACCTATAGGTTGAGGACACGGTGACCGTGGCGGTGGAGGAGGAGGATGAGGTAGCCAACATTGTTTTTTATGTTTTTTTTGTTTTTTTATTGTGGTAGCCCACAAAATATTGGGACATACAAAATAAAAACATTTGCGGCCTGCGGTGCATTTCTTGCAGTCCTGATCCATGGAGAAATGCTCAACTACTGATGCATGGAGAAAAGGCCTTCACAAGCCTCTGCTAATGTGTACATAGTTTATACTAAGTGACCTATAGGTTGAGGACACGGTGACCGTGGCGGTGGAGGAGGAGGATGAGGTAGCCAACATTGTTTTTTATGTTTTTTTTGTTTTTTTATTGTGGTAGCCCACAAAATATTGGGACATACAAAATAAAAACATTTGCGGCCTGCGGTGCATTTCTTGCAGTCCTGATCCATGGAGAAATGCTCAACTACTGATGCATGGAGAAAAGGCCTTCACAAGCCTCTGCTAATGTGTACATAGTTTATACTAAGTGACCTATAGGTTGAGGACACGGTGACCGTGGCGGTGGAGGAGGAGGATGAGGTAGCCAACATTGTTTTTTATGTTTTTTTTGTTTTTTTATTGTGGTAGCCCACAAAATATTGGGACATACAAAATAAAAACATTTGCGGCCTGCGGTGCATTTCTTGCAGTCCTGATCCATGGAGAAATGCTCAACTACTGATGCATGGAGAAAAGGCCTTCACAAGCCTCTGCTAATGTGTACATAGTTTATACTAAGTGACCTATAGGTTGAGGACACGGTGACCGTGGCGGTGGAGGAGGAGGATGAGGTAGCCAACATTGTTTTTTATGTTTTTTTTGTTTTTTTATTGTGGTAGCCCACAAAATATTGGGACATACAAAATAAAAACATTTGCGGCCTGCGGTGCATTTCTTGCAGTCCTGATCCATGGAGAAATGCTCAACTACTGATGCATGGAGAAAAGGCCTTCACAAACCTCTACTAATGTGTACCTAGTTTATACTACGTGACACATAGGTTGAGGAGGCGGTGACCGTGGTGGTGTAGGTGGAAGCAGCGGTGGAGGAGTAGGAGTTAGCCAACACTGTTTTTTAATTTAATTTTTGTTTTTTTCATTGGGGTAGCCCCCAAAATATTGGGACATATAAAAAAAAAAGAAACATTTGCGGCCTGCGGTGCATTTCTTGCAGTCCTGATGCATGGAGAAATGCTCACCTCCTGATGCATGGAGAAAAGGTCTTCACAAGCCTCTGCTAATGTGTACATAGTTTATACTAAGTGACCCATAGGTTGAGGAGGCGGTGAACGTGGCGGTGTGGGTGGAGGCAGTAGCCAACACAGTTTTAAATATTGGGACATATAAAAAAAAGAAAACAAAGAATAAGTCCACTTGAGGATAACAATGGCTGGGTGAGGCCGGTATAAATGTCTACTCTGCACAAGGTACAGACAAGTCTGGTGGGATCCATGCCTGGTTCATTTTAATAAACGTGAGCTTGTCCATGTTGGCTGTGGACAAGTGGCTGCGCTTGTCTGTGATAATGCCCCCTGCCGTGCTAAACACATGTTCAGACAATACACTGGCTACAGGGCAGGCCAGCACCTCCAAGGCATAAAGGGCAAGCTCAGGCCATGTGCCCAATTTGGAGACCCAGAAGTTTAATGGGGCAGACCCATCAGTCAGTACGTGTAAGCGTGTGCACACATACTGTTCCACCATGTTGCTGAAATGCTGCCTCCTGATAAGACGTTCCATATCAGATGGTGGTGCTGGTTGTTATGGCGTGCTGACAAAGCTTTTCCACATTTCGGCCATGCTAACCCTTCCTCCTGAGGTGCTGGCGGTGCCCGACCTCTTCCTCCTCCTCTGCCTTTGCCTTGTGCTTCCACTGAGCCCCCAGTGTCAGTTGGGAATGCCCTCAGCAGCGCGTCTATCAGCGTGCGCTTGTAGTCGTGCATCTCCTGATCACGCTCCAGTGAGTGAATTAAGGACGGCATGTTGTCCTTGTAACGGGGATCCAGCAGGATGGCCACCCAGTAATCAGAACAAGTTAGAATGTGGGCATCTCGGCAGTCGTTGCGCAGGCACTGCAGCATGTAGTCGCTCATGTGTGCCATGCTGCCCAGAGGCAAGGACAAGCTGTCCTCTATGGGAGGTGTATCGTCTGTGTCTTCCTTATCCCCCCAGCCATGCTCCAGTGATGCCCACGAGCTGCATTGGGTGCCACCCTGCTGTGAACACGGTTCCTCCTCCTCCTCATCCTCATTATCCTCCTCCTCATCCTCCAGAACTGTGCCCTGGCTGGACAATTGTGTACCTGGCCTAGGCTGTGCCAGAAACCCACCCTCCAAGCCACTTGTGAATGACTCGCCTCATAACCGTGGAAATGACCCCTCCTCCTCCTCCTCTTCTTCCTGTGCATAGAAGCGATATAGTAAGGCTGAGAACAGCGTCATCAGCACTGGCCATGTTGGTGGAGTTCTCAAAACAGTGCAAAATGGCACACAGGTCTAGCATGGAGGCCCACTCATTGGTGGTGAAGTGGTGCTGTTCCTCAGAGCGACTGACCCGTGTGTACTGCATCTGAAACTCCACTATCGCCTGCTGCTGCTCGCACAGTCTCTCCAGCATGTGCAAGGTGGAGTTCCACCTTGTGGGCACGTAGCATATGAGGCGGTGAGCGGGAATGCCGAAGTTACACTGCAGCGCAGACAGGCGAGCAGCAGCAGGGTGAGAACGCCGAAAGCGCACACAGATGGCCCGCACTTTCTGCAGCAGCTCTGATATATCTGGGTAGATTTTCAGGAATTTCTGCACCACCAAATTCAGCACATGCGCCAGGCAAGGGATGTGCGGCAAACCGGCTAGGCCCAGAGCTGCTACGAGATTTTGCCCATTATAGCACACCACCAGGCCGGGCTTGAGGCTCAGTGGCAACAACCACTCATCGGTCTGTTGTTCCATGCCCGTCCACAGCTCCTGCGCGGTGTGGGTTTTTCCCCCAAACATATCAGTTTTAAAACAGCCTGCTGTCATTTCCCCCTGGCTGTGCTGAAGTTGGTGGTGAAGGTGTTACGCTGCCCGGATGAGGTGGTGGTAGAGGAGGAGGAAGCGGAGTAGGAGGAGGAGGCAACACGAGGCAAAGAGACATGCCCGGCAATCCTCTGTGGCGGAAGGACATGCGCCAAACTGCTATCTGCATCAGGCCCAGCCGCCACTACATTTGCCCAGTGTGCAGTTAGGGAGATATAGCGTCCCTGCCCGTGCTTACTGGTCCACGTACCTGTGGTTATGTGGACCTTGCCACTGATGGAG